TCTGAAGCCTGGCAAAAACAGACCGAAAATGGCAGATGCAAAGTTACTTAGCTGAAGTTTAAACTGTTGAAATTGAAATTGCTAATTTTTTTTTGGGCTGGTTTATGTTATTGGTGTTGTTTTTGTTGCTACTGCAAAGCTGAATATGTAGCACTGAAATTGAGCTGCTTGTCCTGAGTGGCTGAGTAAGTTTCTGTTGTTGATTAGCTGAAGAAGTTGAGTGTGTGTTGTCTAAAGGGACTATATGAGAACAGAGATATCAGAAAGAAATGTTGATTTCAGAAGGGATGTTGGTCAAAGATCCAATGAATTTAAAATGCTGGTGGAAGAAAGGCTATTGAAGCAGCAGAAGAAGAATGTCCAGTTTGAGAGGGGATGTTGGTCAAAGGACGAAAATGCAAAAAATACAAGTAGCAGAAGAAAAAGGTAATTCTGCAAGACGGTGTAGTTTTGACTTTAGTAAAATCAGTTGTATAATAAGCTGTACTTTACAAACTTTACTCTTTGTCTTTGTATTCATATAAAAGAGTAAAGTTGTTTTCTTTACTGTACACTCTGTAACGAATCCAGTTATCAATTGAAAGAAAATCAAACATATTCCTCTCTGTTTTTTCTGCTTTGTTCGCAAACCCTAAGCTAATTTTACAGTAGGAGTATAACTACCGCAACCATTGTTGTGCCTTTCCATAGATTGTTGAAATTTACTCTTCTTAGAGTTGCCTTTGTTATGTTCCAAGGATTGTTATAGTGTTCCTTGAGTTCCTCGCAAATGTCATAGTAAGAGGAACAACTCAAAATGTTAGATTGAGTAAGTTTGTTAAACATATTTATTATTGAAGCATTGTTGCCCATAAGATTGGTAATTAGTCGATTTCCAATAAGCAAGTCCACTTCTTTTTCAATATCAATAAGATAATCCATTGGTCTAATGTAATTGCAAACATGAGTATCCCACGGATAATGACATTGGTCCAGAGCCATAACACTTGTAAATAGACGTCCAATATTGTCATATATTCGTAAATGTGGTATTTGACACTCCTTCTTTTGATTTTCAAATCTTATATCAAGTACGCTGTGTCCTCCTTCCATACACTTGAACATCACTCCCAACTCATGCAACTTCACTGCAGAAGGTAAATCTTCAACCATTCAACTTGATGGCTTTGATCTAGGATAAGTTTCAAGTAGAGTACTTCTTCTCCAATTGGTGAAATGTTTAACTATCAATAGGGGAGTTAATCTAATCAACTCTAAACCTTGAAAAAAAATTAAAGAAAGAACAAGAAAGCTCCACGAAGTTAAATATGTCTGAGCCAACAAAAGTTAAATTATGTATTTCCTCAAGGACAAAGTATGGAAGTTGATTTTCGAGTAAATCCAAGTCTGTGGATAAAGTATGTCTTTCCGTTGTTGTAGCTAGCAATGAGTCTCTCCTATCTCCAAAGTTTACATGCCTTAAGAAGAGCACTATAATGAAAATAACATCATATAAAATCATCATTACATACTCAGGATTCCCTACCTCAGATGTTTCATTATAATAGTTACGTATGTTTTTTTCATTGGTCTTGATGAAGCTTAAAATTTCATCATGTTTCTCAATTGTTTTCATTTATTCTACGAATGTTTTCAGGAACCCTGTAAGTGCAACACTGATTAGGATTAGGATCAGGATTAGACCCAAGTGTTGGTCAATGTCACTTAACAACTCTTTGACCAGATCCTCATGTTTAAAGGAAGCATTTATCATCTGCAAGTTCATTGTCCTGTAGACAAACGTGCAGACAAGAGTCAATAGCAGCAAATAGATAAATGCAACCCTCACAAGAAAAATATTATTCTAGGTTATGCATGCATGATCTATTAAATTTTAAACCAAACGTCATTATAACCTTGGATTAATTTTTCAATAAAGATCTTTCCAATCAATTAATTATTTCTTAACATTGTTTTATTTTACACAAATTCTATTATCATGTCTTTCTGTCAATTAATTAGTCATAAACTTTATTAACATTGTTTTATTTTTATTCAATGGTTCACTAAGATTTGATGCAATGATGTATGATGTATCAATCTTGATTTATATTTTTATTAATTAGTCGTAAGAGCAGCAGTTTCCCAGATCACATGATATTGCCTTAAAATGAGTTCATAATATATAACTTTTTTTTTTCTTGTTTTCTTTGTAAGCAAATCCACTGATATTCTGGGGTGGATTGGTTTATTATTTTGGATAGGATTTTGGGAATAATATTGGGTAGTTGAATAGGGGAGTATTATGAGGTAAAATTTATAAAAAAAAACCTCTAGATTTCCTAATTTAATAAACACCCAATATATAAAAATATTGTAAAACGAGAAAAACACCCCCACCACCCGCAGTGCTAGATTTCGGCCACCGCTGCCAAAATATGACCGGAACATTGCTTAATGACACATACCGGCCGGATCTGGTGAGTATGGCGTCGATATGCTCTTTTTCAGCCAGATCCACCATAGAGCTGGCCAGAAAAGGCCAGATCTACGGCCAGATGTGGTCGTTAACGGTCGAAAAAGGCGTATGGCATCCATCTGCTGACGGTCAAAAATATGACCGTCGTTGTCGGTCAACGATGGCCAAGATTGGGCTGTCGTTGACCGTCAAAGAAGACAATTTCTTTGGCCGTCACTGACGGCCAGATCGGTGAATTGCCGGCCGGTTCCGGTCGATAATTTACCATAGTGGCAGATTTCTGCTACCACCAATGGTGGTTGCCGGAATCTAGCAAGTATGGGTTGGTGGGGGTGTTTTTATTAATTTTTAAACTTTTTTTCTGGGTGTATTTAATAAAATTAATAAACTTAAGGGGTTTAAAAGTAATTAAAAAATACGGTAATATTTCTCAAATAATGCACAAAACAATATTTCGGGAATATGATTGAGAATATGGGTAGAAATAGGAAACCAAACGCACCCATAATACTCCTAAGAATCTTCATTCCATGTATGGTAATCAAAAGATTTAAGAAAGCCAATAGATAAAATCAACTAGAATTAAGTGGGATATTAAATTATATTATACATTTCAAGCAATCCTATCAATTATCATTAACATATTAAGAGTATGAATAACTAATGGATCAATTCAATAATAATAATAATAAATGAAAAAGGTACATTATTATAATTTGAACCTGAAATTAGGAAGTAATTTTGTGGTACTGAGGGAGCAGTTTCCCAGACCTTCCTCTCCAATATTTTCATGGCTCCGGCGCAGGGATGTGCTACTATCTATCTCCCTCTCCCTTCGATAATCATGTGTGTTATGTATTTACTAGTTGATCTTGATCTAAGATTATATTTATAATCATGTCATTCCTCTTTTCGGTTTTAATATTTACTAATTGACTTTAAGTCATAGTAAACTAAAGTCATGTAAGAAACTACAAATGTAGTAGGTAATTCCTATTTAATTAATGCATTGAAAAATTAATAAATACATTTTCTAATTAAAGAAGAGCAATGTTACATATATCGAAAATGGATACTGAATTCATGCATCGAACAGACGTGGCACCATCCGCTTTTTTCAAAAATAAAATTCATAATTAATCAACGGTCATGATGATGTCACGTCTATCGGTGCATGATTTTGGTATCCCTTTTTCGGTAACTGTATCATTTTCCATTAAAGAAATACCTATGTTCAAATGTAGCAGACAATTCCTATTGATAACTGATGCATTGAACGATTAAAGAAAGACTCTATGCTAACATCGACGTAAAATAAACAAAGTCATATGATCAACAACTCAAATCATTGAAAATTCAAGATCCGATTAATAACTACTTTCTTGACAAAAATTCTGACTACCGAATGATTTGGGAAGATTATTTCTTCATACAAAGTGATAAGGCGCCTTAGCTGCCTGTATAAAATCTTTAGTGAATTTCAATATTAGATTTGTAATATATGAAATAGGTAACATTAACCCCTGTGTGGCCAAATGGTGAACTAGGACTCTTGAACGTATTACTTAAAAGATATTGAGTTCGATCTCCCTCGATCCCTAATATGGATGACCAGTAGAGAATTACTCGACCATTAACTACAGGCCTCAAGGAATTGGTTAAGGTATAGAGCAAGCTAGTTCGAACACCCCTAAAAAAAGTAAAAATCGGAAATTCCAAATTCCAAAAGACTTGTTGGGGCATGGAGGCAACATTAATAAACAAATAAATGAAAATTTGTTATTTAATAAACATTCCACATCCAAATCAAAATTTTGCATGTGAATACAATTTCATAATAAAAATTTTTTATTGTTACTTGTAAAGTTTTTTGCAAACTAGCAATTTATTTCTGGGTAATATTAATTGATAACTTTTTTTTTTTTTCAATAAAATACAAGTAACATTGTAATATTAAATATATTTTCCCAGTAATTTGATACAATAACCGCAGTCTTCTAGTTCTATTCATCAAGTGCCAGCAGCGGTCTTGCTATAGGTGGTGGTTATTTGACTACTTCGGATGTTTTTATTTTTTATTTATTAATTATTAATCACAGGGGCGTAACCAGGGTTTAATGTTAATAGGGGCGAGTTTAACGAAAATGTAGGTGAGTCAAAGTTCCAAATAATTTAATATAATTTTAGAAAAATTGAGTGGAATTATAACTAATTTAATATATTTCTAATAAAAACAGTGGGGTCAGCTTATAATATTTATTATTTAACACAAGTATAATTGGATTAAAATAGAAAATTTAACAAAATTAATGGATTTTTTTTAGTGGGGTCAGCGGGCCCCACTGGGCCCTTCTTGGGTCTGCCCATGATTCAAAAGCAAAATTACAGACGAAGCAGTATGTGCGCTTGTTGAGCTCTACACTCACAGCAACTGATCAGTATCCTTGAGAACTACGAGAAGGAAAGATGGTGCTGAAGTACCATTCATGGACTATTACAAATTTTATTAGAAATATCAGAAACAAGGAAAAACATTATTCAGAATAGAAGATTCAGAAGCAAAATTACACTACAAAAGTAGACTAGTACAGGTCTAATACAAGTATCAATAAATCACACAACTTGTAAAATAGAACATATGGTTTGTATGATAGTAAGCAGAAGGAGTACGTACAACTGCTGCAAGAGTTTCGGTGCCTCACCACAGATTGCTGAAATAAACTCTTCTTAAAATCGCCATCGTTTTGTTCCAAGGATTGTTAGTTTGTTACAGTGTTCCTCGGCTAATGTTATATTCCCCAAGACAAGGCATCGTTGTAATCTGAAATAATTTTTCCTACGCGTATAGGTGATTAGTCAACCATGTGTTGAAATCCTAGGACCGAATGAAAAAAAACCAGAAAGTGTACAACTTTCCAGAGAAAACAAACAGAAAAATTTGAGTGAGAGAGAACTGAACTTCTCTTTTTCATTGACTGCGGAAACTGGTTTTTACAAAATGTTTATATAGTTACAAAAAGATCTGAGGTGGCAATCCATGTGATTTATCACAGTAAAATCCTTGGCCATTCAACATTTACCCAACAAACACAAATTAACAATTTCCAGACGGTAGAATCAGTGTTTTTTCAAGCAAGAACAGTAGCAGAAAGAGCTGAGACCTTGTACCTTGATCTGAAAATCGTTGAATTTTTTTTTTACTTCCACAGTATAAAGAAAAAGAGCACCGTCCCACTAATGAGAGTTAACGCCACTTAATGGAATGTGTAGTTTATGCCGTTGAACAGTCTTTCAAATACTTTGAATATGAACTAGAGAAAACAGAGTAGCTGCAGCTTTGCTGGAGAACAGAGCAGCTGCAGCTTGCTGGAGTAGCTGTTGCTGTTGCTGCAGCTTTGCTGGAGAACAGAGTTGCTGCAGCTTGCATCCGTAGCGTTGAGGAACAGAGGTGATTTTAATTTATCTTAATGTCAAACCGATTAGACTCGCTCGATAATTTTCTCATGAAATTTTGAGAAAAACACAAATATTAGATATCACTGAAGATACATTACACACGGCCAGTAAGAAGTATATTGCAAACATATATAATATTAATATAACAAGCTTCAAACTAAAAACTAATACAAGTTTTAATCAAAATCAGACAACCTGCATGATAGAACATATGGTTTGTATGACAGTGAGCAACAGGAGTATAATTGCCGCAACAGTTCCTGCACTTCTCCATGGATTGCTGAAATAAACACTTCTCAAAGTTGCCTTCCTTTTGTTCCAGCGACTGTTATAGTGGGCTTTCAAATCCTCGCAACATTTATAGGAAGAGGATAAACTTAAATGGATGTTTTCGTTCAGTTTGTTGAACATACGTATTACTGAAGCGTTGTTCCCCAATTGATTTGAAATAATTCCCTTTGCAACAAGCAAATCAACGTCTTTCTCAGTATTGATAAGAGAATCCATTATTTTAATGTAATTGCAAACTGGAGAATCCCACGTGTAACGACACTGCTCCAAAGCTATAATATTTCTCAGTTGGCATTCGGTGTTCTCATATAATTCCAAACGTGGTATTTGCACCTCATATTTTTTAAAGAATGGAATTAGCCGCTTTATGGATGCAAATTTGATGTCAAGTAAGCATTCTCTATCAACACGCTCAAAATGCACTCCTGACTCATGCAACTTCACGGCAGAAGGTAAATCTTTAATCCATCCCTTCGATTCTAGTACAGAATTTGGGTAGCCTTTCAGTAGAGTAATTCTTCTCCAAGTGCAGAAATGTTTGATTTCTACCTTGCTGGGTAACCTAGTCAATTTCAAGTTTTTAAAAAAGCCGAAGAACAAACAAGAAAGCTCCATGAAAGTTGGTACCTGAGGGCTATTAAAATTAACTAACATATATATTTCATCGAGAACGAAGAATGGAAGTTGATTTTCAAGTAATTCCAAGTCTTTGCATAAAGTATGTCTCCCTGCTGCTGTAGCTAGCAATGCATCACTTGCTCTATCACGACGGGATTTATTCTTTACAAAAAGTTCTATGATGAATATAGCGTCATACATAATCATCATTACAAACTTATGACTTTCAAGGGGAAATATCTCCGCATAACAATTACGAATTTTTTGTTCGTTGTCTTTGATGAAGGTTAAGATTTTATCTCGTTTCTCACTTGTTATTCTTTGGAGAAATTGTTTCATATACCTCTTTTTTTTCTCTTCCATGTCAGCTAATTTTGTGTCACCATGGTGGAAAGGACCTATTGAAATTAACTGAGGAGTGTAGAATTTTTCATTTGTAGAACGAATCTTTTTGGGAACCCTGTAAATGCTACACTGAAAAAAGCCAGGTTCAGGCTCCAAGTCCTTAGTGTCAATTAGCAACTCTTCAACTAAATCCTCAACTTTAACTGGAGCACTCATCTCCTGTAAGTTGTTCATCGTTCCAATATAAATCCTACAAACAATAAATACTAAATAGATAAATGCAACCCTCAAATGAAAATCATTTTCGTGCATGAGGTTGCTTATTTTTAACTATTTCCTCCTAAATTAAAAGCAATATTCTCTCTTATATCACAAATAATAAAGAAATAAAGATACTATGCAATCTCTCATAACCAATAACTTGCATACACAGGCTTCTGTTGTTTGAAATATGAGAATAATTTTATAAAACATAGATATATCAGCAATATTAACTTTTGGTAGACAAAAATAATAAGAACACGCATATATAGTTAAAGTAACGAAACAAATGAATTTGAACCTGTATATTTTTGCTGGAAATCAACAAATATTTGTATGGTCGATGGCAGCAGAATTCCTCGTCACAATATATCAGCAGACAGCGAGTTCCTTCATCACAGAGATATGTCACTTAAACTTATGGTATCTCTCTCTTTGAAACCTCCACTATATATCTTCACCTTCATAATATGCTTCCTCTCCTGTTCTTGATATTTCTTATTTACCAAAAGCATAGTAGCTGCCAACACCTTTGTTGGGCGTGCTGCCAAAAGCTGAATTGCCAATCCAACAAGTTGGACTTTAATCCAAGTTATATAATATAATATCCTAATGGAATATAGTATAATATTCGGATAAAGTTGTCTTAAATGAACAATAATTAATTGTGAAACGAACTCTTCTTGGTGGCCTTGGGCCCCTTATAAATTTGTCAGAAATAATGCGTGATTCGCACTCACTGCAGCAGATAAAGAAGGGCAACCATGTGACTAACGTTGACAAATCAATGCATTCTGATGAAAGCTGTTGTCTGTTGTCTGTTATGAGATATTTTTAATTAGGTAAAGAATATATGAAGATTTTGACAAGAAGTGAAAAATCTCAGGATCGAGATTCGAGAGATCAAAAGATAAGGAAAAAGAGATTGCAGTTTAGGGATAGAAAAGTCAACTTGCTTTGTTCAATAGACTAAAATCTTCTAATAGGTAGAAAAAATAGTAATCCATGTGATTACTCATCTAAGCCGTTGATTTATCCAGAAACAAACACAACTTTAGAGGCTGCTGTTCGCAGGATTTACTGTCTTTTCAGTTTTCAGTAGCAGACTTGAGAGAAACTGTTATGAACAGTAGCTTAGAAGCCTTAACGGCAGTTTCTTTTACTAACGGCAGCTTCAATCATGGAAAAGTTCTCTGCTGAGATTGAGTTTGAGTGCAGCTTGCACTTCTCTCAACAGAATAGACCCATTATTTTTTTATTTATGATGTCATGCTAACGTTAGTATGATGAGATTACCAGTTTGATCCGTCGGTCCCACCAATTCAACTGCTTGACCTAGGATCCGATCACCTGATCAAGTCACTGCCTGGTTTGGGTTTTAACACATTACTTCTTGCTAAGACTTAAGTTATGTTTTTAAACTGAATGCTTATTTGGAAAATTAGAGCATACCATCTAACGAACACTGATCCATTTTACTATTAATTTATTGTTATGGTAAAGTCATAGAGGTTCCATACTTGTTTAATTAATTTGTGATCTAAAACGCGTGTTTGATATCTTAACGTAATTGAGGAACAAAAGTAATTTTAATTCACCTTAATGTCAAACCGATCATCTGATAATTTTCTCATGAAATGTTGAGAGATGCACAAATATTAAATATAACTGAAGATATATTACACAGAGCCGGCAAGAAATATATTGCAACATATATAATAGTAACATAACAAGCTTCAAACTAAAAACTAATACGAGTTCTAATCAAAATCAGACCTGCATGATAGAACATACAGTTTGTATGACAGTGAACAGTAGGAGTACAATTGCTGCAAGACTTCCTGCACCTCTCCATGGACTGCTGAAATAAACACTTCTCAAAGTTGCCTTCCTTCTGTTCCAGCGATTGTTGTAGTGGGCTTTCAAATCCTCGCAACATTTATAGGAAGAGGATAAACTTAAATGGATATTTTTGTTAAGTTTGTAGAACATATGTACTACTGAAGCGTGGTTCCCCAATTGACTTGAAATAATCCCCTTTGCAACAAGCAAATCAACATCTTTCTCAGTATTGATAAGAGAATCCATTATTTTAATGTAATTGCAAACTGGAGAATCCCACGTGTAACAACACTGCTCCAAAGCCATAATATTTCTAAGTTGGAATTCGGTGTTGTCGTATAATTCCAAACGTGGTATTTGCAACTCATGTTTTCTAAAGAATGGAATTAGCCGCTTCACGGTTGCAAATTTTATGTCAAGTAAGCATTCTCTATCAACACGCTTAAAATGCACTCCTGACTCATGCAACTTCACGGCAGAAGGTAAATCTTTAATCCAGCCCTTTGATTCCAATACAGAATTTGGGTAGCCTTTCAGTAGAGTAATTCTTCTCCAAGTGCAGAAATGTTTGATTTCTACCTTGCCGGGTAACGTAGCCAATTTCAAGTTTGTAAAAAAGCTGAAGAAAGAACAAGAAAGCTCCATGAAAGTAGGTGTCTGAGGGCCAGACAAATTAGCTAACATATATATTTCCTCGAGAACGAAGAATGGAAGTTGATTTTCAAGTAATTCCAAGTCTTTGCATAAAGTATGTCTCCCTGCTGCTGTAGCTAGCAATGAATCACTTGCTCTATTACGACGGGATTTATTCCTCACAAAGAGTTCTATGATAAATATAGCATCATACATAATCATCATTACAAACTTATGACTTTCAAGGGTAAATATCTCTGCATAACAATTACGAATTCTATGTTCGTTGTCTTTGATGAAGGTTAAAATTTTATCCCGATTGTCGCTTGTTATTCTTTGGAGAAATTGTTTCATATACCTCTTTTTTTTCTCTTCCATGTCAGCTAATTTTTTGTCACCATAGTGAAAAGGACCTATTGAAATTAACTGAGGAGTGTAGAATTTTTCATTTGTAGAACGAATCTTTTTAGGAACCCTGTAAATGCAGCACTGAACAAAAGCAGGTTCAGGCTCCAAGTCCTTAATGTCAATTAGCAACTCTTCAACTAAATCCTCAACTTTACTGGGAGCACTCATCTCCTGTAAGTTGTTCATCGTTCCAATATAAATCCTACAAACAATAAATAGACAAATGCAACCCTCAAATGAAAATCATTTTCGTGCATGAGGTTGCTTATTTTTAACTATTTCCTCCTAAATTAAAAAGCAGTACTCTCTTATATCACAAATAATAAAGAAATAAAGATACTATGCAGTCTCTCATAACCAATAACCTGGATAATTTTTATAAAACATAAGATATATCAGCAATATTAACTATTGTAGACCAAAATGATAAGAACACGCATATATAAGTAAAATAACGAAACAAATGGATTTGAACCTGAATATTTTTGCTGGATATCAATCAATAAATATTTGTCTGGTCGACNTTATCTGCTGCTCAATTTACTGAGCTGAGGCAGAAACTAAATGTGGTTGCAGTTTCTTGTAATACGTACTGATTCTTATCTGTTTCTGTAATGCAGAAGAAGATCAAAATGCACCTGGAAAGTGGTTGAAATCTGCTGTTGAAAAATGGTTGAAAAATGCAGTCTATACTGTACTGAGTCTCAACTGTCATTTTACTGATTTACTGATTTCTGTGTCTGTGCTACTAGTTCTGTAGTACAGAAAGTGACAGATGTTTTTTTTTTTTTTTTTGAAGGAATTATGGTAGAGTGTAGAGTTGTGGCAGTAGTGACAGATGGGTGGTTTGTAGTAGTGGCAGATTTTTTTTGATGATTTTGAGATAGTTTACAGAATTGAGAAGAGTTGGGTGTAGAGTTGTTAAACTGGAGGTTGTGGTTGAACTGTATGATTGAGATAGGAGTTGTTAAGTTGAGTAGTTGAGATATTGTTTTTTGAGGAGTTGTTAAGTTGCGTTGTTGAGATATTGTTTTGAGCTAGTTGGTTTATTCTTGGTGTTGATTAATTGAAGTTAGTTAGTTGAACTGAAAATGTGCCACTGATGAGTTGATCTACTGAAAGTTGAAATTGCTGAAACTAGAATTGCAGAGTTGTTTTTGCATTGGTGTTGTTTTACTGAAAATGTGCCACTGATGAGTTGATCTACTGAAAGTTGAAATTGCTGAAACTAGAATTGCAGAGTTGTTTTTGCATTGGTGTTGTTTTTCTTGCAACTGGAAATGTGCTGCTGCAGAGTGATCAGTTGAAGTTAAAACTGGTGAAACAAAAATTGCAGAGTAGTTTTTGAGTTGGATTATGTTCTTCTTGTTGTTTTTGCAACTGAAAATATGCTGCTGCAGAGTGATCAGTTGAAATTAAAACTGAGTGATCAGTTGAAGTTAAAACTAGTGAAGCTGAAATTACAGAGTAGCTATGAGCTGGATTATGTTTTTTTTATGCCACTGAAAAGCTGCTCATCTTAAACTGACAATGCATATGGGGAACTGAAGTTGAGCTACTTATCCTGAGTAACTAAGTAGCTGAAATTGAAGAAGTTGAGTGTGTGTTACCTAAAGGGGTTATATGAGCACAAAGGTATCAGACAAATACTTTAGTTTCAGAAGGAGTGTTGGTAAAAGAACCAATAAATTTGGAATGCTAGTAGAAGAAAGATTGCTGAAGCAGCAGAAGGAAGATGTCTAGTTTGAGAGGGGATGTTGGTCAAAGGACGAAAACTGCAAACAATTCAAATAGCAGGAGGACATTGTAATTCTGCAATACGATGTCGTTTTTGCTTTCAGTAAAGATAGTTGTAAAATACACTTTACTTAAAACCACTTTACTCTTCGTTCTTGTGTCTGTATATAAAGAGTAAAGTAGCTCTTTACTGTAGCTTGAAAGAATTGAATCATTGAAAATACGAAATTAAACACTTTTCTCTGTTTTTCTTCTGTTTCATTTGCAAACCCTAAGCTAGATTTACAAAAGTGTGTGATGTAATGGTGAAGGGGTAAATTGGTGTTGCAGGAGGTGACACACGTTAGTAGATCGCCACATCTAATAATGCTTTGGTGGACGTTAGTAGACACGCCCCTGGTGTTTTTTGCCCTTTTATAACGATTCTTTCACCCAAAATCACCCTTGTCACCACCATTCGAACCTCATCCTCCCCTCAACAAAACCTTACCCTTCACAAACCCTTACCACTCGCGATAGTCGGCCATGACAGCCACAACATGAGACTATTTTTTGTCAATTTTCAGCTACTTTGAGCAGCTACAACCCCAACCACCACCATCATTTAACTCCTCGAATCCCCCCTACAAAACCCTTAACCTTCCGAATCACAATAACTCACCGTTTGTCGTCCACCACTTCACTGAAAACGTGACAAACACGAACCTTTCGACCAAAGAACGACAACTAAACGGTTGGTGGGGACTAGAGGTGGCGGTGGGCCATGCCATGCCTAAAAATTCAAGGCCCTTTGTGTCGTGGGCTGTACCATGCCAAGGCCCACAAAAATTTGTGCCTGTCGTGCTGTGCTGGCCTACCAAATTTGAAGGTCTATAGCACGGCACGATATATAGTGAGCTGTGCCTTGGGCCAACCCACGTGCTTTGTAAAAATATTTAATTTTAATATTTATAAATTATGGTAATTTTGATTTATTATTAATAATTATTATAAAAATAGTTTATATTTTATATTTAGTGACATTTTGTATTTATATTAATTAAAAAAATGTACAATCACTATGAAATATAATCAAATAATGAGACATTGAAATATGAATTCCAACACTTTGTATTACTTATAAGTTATAATTATAAATTACAAATATAAACATAGAAATTAGGATTAAGAATTATTATACATCTTCATTTTCATTCATTTATAAATTCTTAAAATCTTCAATAACTAGGGGTGGAAAAAACCGGTTAACCGGTAGCTTGAACCGAACCGGTTTTCGGTTTGAAATTTTTTTCGGTTTTGGTTCAAAATCAATTATGAATGAATTGAAAATTCGGTTCAGTTAAGAGGTTTTAAAACCAGTTAATTAAAATTTATGATGGGCTGCATTTTTCGGCCCAATTCGGTCACAGTCCACTTTTGCCGATTTTTTTTTCCAAGTTTTTTGGCCCAATAACGTCAGATAAAATAGAGCATTTGATCAACATTAAATTTGGTCTACGACTAACCATTTTTCTTCCTTATTTTGACATTATTTATAATTCTTATAAAGAAAGAGAGATTTTACCATTTGCTGTCATGAAGCTTCAGGATTCAGCTTAACTAAACTAGCAAGAAACATTTTAAATCTCCTAGAATTCAAAAGTATTTATATTCATAACCTTCTAACAAAAATGTACATGTTGATTCACTTATAAATTTCCACCAAACCCATTTCACATCGGAAAGTGCCTGAGTTAAAACCAAAATGCTTCAATTTCAATTTAGTAAACCAGAAAGCAAAATAATAAACACAAAACAAGTGGTAGATAAATGGGGGCTCAGATTCAGCTCTAAAAGTGAAACCTTGAGGATTTCAATGGCTGCAACAAGGAGCTATCTCCGGGTTTCCCCGCCAATAAACGGGTCTCAAAGAGTCCTACTCAAAGCTTGAAACCTTCATCACAGCCTCATAATAGTCAGCTTCCGAAGAAGAGACAAAGATGAGGTCACCCATCGGAAACAGACGACGACGTGGAGACTGGAGCGATGACGGTGACTGCAGCTGAGGCATGCAATAGGCACGTGTGAGGGACTTGGGAAACCCAGATGGCAATGGTAGTGAGCCACCGACGGCTGACTACGACTGGTGACTATCGACTGTTGAGCTAAAGATCAGTGGTGTGAGCAAAGACCGGTGGCGTGAGCAACGTGAGAAATTTGGGCGGCTACCGACTAAGGCGTGACCATATGAGAACAGAGATCTGAGAGCTAAGAGACAGTGAGAGTCCGAGAGAGAGTGAGAGACAAAGAATGAGAGTGAGAGTGATAGTGATAGTGATAGTGATAGTGAGAGTGAGAGACAGAGACTAAGTCACTGAGACTGAGAGAATACAAAACTTACTGAGGTGAGTGAGGTATGATCTGAGACTGAGTATTGTGCGGTTGCAGCCTGCAGCGTGCCTAAGTAGTGAAGCAGTGAGACCTGAGAATGAGTATTACTAAGTACTGAGTGAGTAGTGTTAGGGTGTTAGACAAGTTAGACTATTAGTGTTAGGGATTGCAAAATAAAAAATGTAAACCACATAATTTTTTTTTTTTAAATTCGGTTCATAAAACCGGTTCCGGGTAACTAGAATTAATTTTTCCAAAAACCGAAACCGAACCAGATTTTCGTTTTTTTAATAATAGAACTGAACCAAAAAAAAAAAAAAACTGGATTTTCGGTCCGATTCGGTTTCCAAGTTTTTTTATCCACCCTTATCAACAACACATTTTTTAATTTTTTTTTCGTGTCGTACCGTGCCAGCCATGTGCCTTTTTTAAGGCCCATGACACGACCCATATATATTCACGTCGTACGGCATGCTTTTTTATCGTGCCATGCTTTTTTCGTGTCGTGTCGTGGGCCAGCACGGCCCATCGCCGACTCTAGTGGGGACATAGGGGTTTTGTGCAGTTGGAGACATTGATTGCAGTGGTGGTGTCCAATTGGATTTTTACTACCAAAATCGACCGAAATCATGTGAAGAATAGGGAAATCCTAAACCTAATGACACCGACGATCGAAGGGGCCAATGAGTTGAGAATCAAAGGGGTTTTGGACGGTAGACTATGGGGAAGGTGATGGAGGTGACCAGGGGGTTCAACGCGGTTGGAAACAATCCAAATTGGGCAAAAATCGAGAGGGTGTACAGTCGCCAAGGGTGTTATTGAAGTAATTTGAAAATAAAATAGTAAATAATAATTGTACTAATTTAGGGGTTAAAATGTAATTTATTTGTTAAGGGCATTATGGTAACTGCATCCTCTGTAACCTAAAAATTGCTAATAATATTACCTTAAGGGTGGAAATCTGGAATAAATGAAACCAGAGATACCAACTTAGGATTTCGCCAAACCTCATATGGGAATATGTCATTTACTCTTTTATATAATATACAAGGCAAGAGCATATTGCGTCGACTTTAACTACCTTTTAAACTAAAAAATTAAAATTAAAAAGGATCAAATTCTAAACTAAACTGATTAGAGAGATGCTGAGAACTGACAAGAGAACATGGAGAAGAAGATGAAAGATGTTCCTTTGCACACGATACGGCACCGCACAAAGCAAGTTTTATTTTTATGTGGGTGGACTAGGCCGGGCCACTTTGCCAGTTATTAAATATAATTCACTTGATACACTTGTTATCCATTCTTAAATAGATAATTAAAATTTTATTATTTGAATTATTAAACCACCTGAAACTTGTAAATATTTTCGCTCCATAGCATTCATTTTACCCTTAAATTTACACCTCCATTCACTTTTCATCTTCTCTCCACCAATTCTCATTACCAATGGCTTCATCCCAAATCTCAACAACCGTTATAAAATCAATGAAACTATTCCCTCCACCACCACCACCACCACCACCACGACGGCCGCCCCCATCACCAAATATAAACCTGCGAACAGAAGCATTTTCCACTGTAGCCCCTCTTATTCTAACCATTACCATAATCCTTTTATTTGTGAAGGTGGTGGAAACTCATACGGTGATTGCGAAGGTGGTGCTCTTGGTGATGCTGATGAGGAGGATGAGGATTATAATCCACTCCATTGATGCAATCTGAAGTTTTTGTCATCTCATGAGGCCATACTCTAGATGGGTTTCTTGTTAGCTCCAGCAAAGAATCCTTCACATGATCAGCTCGAACCATCTCGCTACATTTTTTCTGCCACCAAGAAGTTCATAATAATTGGAATAACTAATATTAAGAGAGTAGTTTAGTTTTGGTATCTAAAATGTGTTCATAATTTTACCTTTACTTTGAACACATTAGAAACAAGTCCCCTAAAATGGGTTATATTTGCATTTGTCACTTCCAGACCCAATGAATTCAAAGCTTCCATCAGTTTTACAAATCCACCAGGCTTATGTTCGCAAAACACTTTAACAAAGAACTCGTTTCCATCTAATGGAGCCACTTCAACTTGCACCTTCAAATGTACAATAAAATTGACATACTGAAATTCTAGTTAGAGAGAGGAAGGAGATATTATGTTTAGATTTTAGAGTACGTTACCTCCATTTGTTGTGTCTTGTCATTAGTGATTCCTAGGTCTTGATTCTGCACTTTAGGAAGTGTACTGTCATTACCTGAAGCAGCTGTTTGACGCTTGCAGTATTATTGTTGGGGCTCCCTTTTCATCTGAATGGTCCTCCAGTTCATCTTGAAGCTCTTTTTATTACCTTTAGCAACTCCTTTGTAAAGTCTATTGCGTCACCAAGGATTGAAGCTTTATCCATCTGAAAGCATCAAACATCCAATCATTCTATAATACTGATACAATTTACTGTTAGAAGATATAAGATGAAATTAAAAAGAAGAATGATTTACTTTTGAAATTTTAGGAACCAAAACTCGAAGAGCATAAAGCCTATCATTAAGCTTCTTTCTTCTTTTCCTCTTAGCTACAAGATTTTTAGATTGAGGTCCCTTCCCCGCTCTCCTCCGATACTTGGCATCATCCTCATCATCAATCTGGTCACTGCAATCTGAGATTGAATCTGACCGTCCATTATAATGCACATTATTAACTGGTGATGAGAAATTAGCATTCATGTTGCTTGTAGTGGCCATCCATTGATATGTTGCATCACGTACGCTGTGATAAAATCAATCACATGTGGATCTTCAGGTACCTAAAATTATCAGGGAATTGGGGCCTTCACCGGGCCGGATTACCAATTTTATTGTTCATGGCAAACCTTAGAAATTAGGACAACGATCGACAGACAAGTGGTGTGATTCTAAATTATCATGAAATATAAAACTCGACACGGTTCAACAGGGACTTGGGGCCTTCACCGGGCCGGATTACCAATTTTATTGTTCATGGCAAACCTTAGAAATTAGGACAACGATCGACAGACAATTGGTGGCTAAGATGTTAGGGGTTTTGAAGAAGAAATGCCTGTGAGTTGAAAGGTGATGACAAAGGTGATTTCTGGTAAGTGAAACGACCGAAAATCACAAAAATAAATCAGTGGCAATAGCCCACTGTTGCTAGCAATTGGCGAGGCGAACAAGGGTAGGGTGAGATTGGTTTTGATCAGGTGACTTAGGGGAAAGTTTTCGTAGTGATGAGGTGTCTTGTCGACGTTGAAAATAGGCCCTATTTGGCATGGGTTGTGTCGACGTCGGTGGTGTAATTTGATATACATGTTGATGTTACCGGTTTGACCAACCAGTCAAACTGGCTCAACTGGTCAACTCGAGACCCCACCACTTTGTCGGGTTTCACCCCAGGCCAGGTTTTAAAACCTTGGTGATGACGTATTAAATGATATAACTATGCCACGTATGGTGACACTTGGAACGTGAAATTTGAGATTATCTTGACATAAATAACATTAGTCTATATTTATATTCGGTTCATAATAGATGATTACTTGTTGAAACTAAGATGATTCTGTGCATATTTTGGTTTAGATGTTACCATGAATAGCAATGATTTAAACTTAAATGTGAGGCAGTTTCGTAACTTTCGCTTGATTGTTTAGATGTTACCATGAATAGCAATGATTTAAACTTAAATGTGAGGCAGTTTCGTAACTTTCGCTTGATTGTTTAGATGTTACCATGAATAGCAATGATTCTATGCATATTTTGGTTTAGATGTTACCAAGCATTAATGCTCCTGTACTAAAAATAGAAATACTATTAAATGCATAATAGTATTTCTATAATCTAAAGACATAAACGCAAATCTGTCATATATATATAGGTGCGTTTCCCTTACAAAGAAGACTCCCTTTTGATCCATTACATAAAGGTCTCCCTGTAGCCATAATTCTCCAAACACTTTTAAGAAGAAACAAAAAGCACAAAATGGCTTCTTTCAAAGGCTACTTCTTTCAGGCTTCAATTCTACTGGGGATGATGCTATTCGTTGCACCTTCATTAGCAAGGGTAAATGTGAAGGTGACAAAGGGTGTTATTAATGATATTTGTTCCAAGACACAGAATCCTTCTTTCTGCTTGGGGGTTCTTAATCAAATTCCTGGAGCAACTACTGCAGATCTTCCAGGTCTAGCCAAAATCACTATTGACTTGGCAAGTTCTAATGCTACAAAAACCCTTCAACTAATCAAATCATTAGTCCCAAAAGCAACTAATAGTAAACTTAAGGAGAGATACGGAACTTGCTCTGAGCATTATGATAATGCCATTGGTGACCTTGATGATGCTCAACAATACTTGAGAACTGGTGATCCAATGGGTGCCAATTTATCAGCTTCAGCTTCCATGGATGAAGCCGGCGATTGTGATGATGAATTAAAAGGGCTCCCGGCGGATCCTTCAGTCCTGAAGGGCAACCAGGACCTAAATAACATTTGTAGTATTATTTTGGTTATTGCTAACCTTATACCCCGTTGAAACATGATGGTTTCTAACAAATTAGTAACTATGAAATCAAATCATCAATAAATTACTCCAAATGAATTCTGTCTTACTTAAATCCACATAAATACATCCCTCATATCCATCTTTGTGACTTTCATATTTTCTTACAGCCTCAGCAAGACACCAATTGCTGGAGTCACAGTGGCAGATGTATCCATCAAGTATGGATTTCAACAAAAATTCTAATATAATAAAGTTTTAAGAGCAGTTTGCAGTCAATAACTTCAAATATTTTTTTTCTCTATTAACATTATGTGCAGACTCACCTAGTCATTCACTTGGCAGTAACGATTTTGCGCAATGTGTTCACCAGAATAAGTTAATATCTCAACAACACATTGGATCAGCATCAGCCTTAATTATGAATAACTTTGGAGAGCAAGCATATACTGATTGAACACATGGATAATAAGGGGCCCAGATGACCAATGTCTTTCATCAACATAGTTCAATTGATAATCTAAAAACATTCCAAAAGCTGTATTGGAAAGAAAGAGACAGAATTTGAGAGTATCCATTTATTCTCTTAAATTTAGATTTACAGCACAACGTATTTCACCATCATCAGCATTACATTTATATGATTCTCCAATCTTATTCAAGATAATGGACCTAATATCCAGGGATAACAAAAGCAAGACAGTTTATGAATGCATTACCAGTACAATTCAGGAACGCAAAGTAGTAGGTTTGTAGTCTATCACTAGAACTTTATCCAAATGGGACAGGAACAAGTTTGCAAATTCAACATGCGCAGGATGAGCTATATACTCTGCAACACCCTCTGTGCTCTCAAAGGTAGATTCAAAGATATGAGCGAAACCTTGATGCAGATTCTCAATACTCACATCCCTGCCCCTGTTGCAACACATAACAAAATGGCAAAAGGGTCAAGATTTTTTAACTCAGGTACCAAAACCGCACTAAGTTATTGTTTTAAACATCGCAATTTTCCAGAAATTGTGTAGATCCAGACAATTATATTATAAGCGTAATTTGTCAAACAGCTATAAGGGCAGGCTGGCAGCAATACGACTACTACAATGAGCCACCAGGACTCAAGATTTGCATCAAAACATGCTTATGAAAAGGTTAAGAGACAAATAACCAGAGGTTTGGTAAATTCTTCACAGAATGTAAAGTGCAATGCTTTTAAATCCCAGAAAGAGTATTCTAATCTTTCAATAAGGCGCCATTAAAAACACTATAGCAGGATTTTCCAAAACTCAGAAACCGCATAACCCATATAAACAGTAGCTAAACAAGATCGCATATTGAGTGGTTATCATATTACTATTGAAAAGACTTTATGGGTCCGACGAGATTGACAAGATTAGCATAGCCTTTGATGAGCTGATCAATTTCTTCTGATTTTACCTCGTCTTTGAACCTAGCGAGTAAAATGTGCTTCACCACTCCTTTAGCCTCTTCCATTTCCTAATGTGCTTAGTACATTAAAAATAAATAAATAAATAATTTGTCAACGACGTGGTGTAAATGACTTGGTGTTGAAATGGTAGGTGGGACGTGGACATCATTTTTATAGAGCCACCAACGTATTCCCACTAGAGCTGGCAACCCGCCCAGCCCGACCCGACCCGACCCAACCCACGACAGGTTACACAAAGTGGTGGATCGGTCCTGACCTGCCTGCCAACCCTAACCCCTCGGGTCGGGCCGGGTTAACCCCTTTATTGATTTTTTTTTTTTTAAGTTTAAATGTTTAATTAACTTTTCAAATAAATAATTAATAATTTATAATTCAATTCAATTCAATTTTGTTTTGTTAACATTTCAGATATTAATACATTAAAATTGTAATATAAGAAAAATTAAATTTATTCGTTTATTAAAAAATAAAATAAGAAATTACAGTAATTATTGTCTCGTTAAAAATTTCACCAAGAAAATCCCAATGGGACAAAAACTTGGTAAGGAAGAAAGAGTGCAATAATTGATAATTAATTTACAATTTACAATTTACAGAACAACTAATTTTGGAGTTGACTAGGACATCCCTCATCCATATCATCTATATTACAAAATTGAAATGACTCTATTAAAGTATCGTCGACAACCTCGTATTGACCTTGATGGCGCGACCGTTCCCAATCTCGAAGACATGTGAGGACTTCAATCATTTTTTGTGAAAGTTTAGTCCTTCTTTCATTTAAAATTCTTCCACTTGCACTAAATGTTTGTTTGGATGAGACGGTTGAGACTGGAACAGCAAAAACATCCAAGGCAAGTCTTGATAATACCGAAAAAATACATTTTCTGGTTTTCCAATATTCCAAGACATCAAAATTGGCTCTTGGTTGTGGATTTGCTGGTAACATTTAAGGAGTTCCCAAATATCGTTGAAGCTCGTTACTCTGTGACTGCATGGTGAATAGTAGATTCGTTGTTGCCGTTGGTGCTTCTGAAGAGGAGGTTGCGCTTGTGCTTCGAGTTCGATGCCTCTTCGGCCTATTAAATGCACTCCAGGTATAGAAGTCTTCATTTGTTTCTTCTGATGAAACTTTCCTTTGTATTTCATGTCTTTGCGGGTTCCCATACCTATTTTCATATTGGAAATATACATCTGTAAAACAATTTTTTACCTCTCCTATTTGATTGACAAATGCTAAGTTTTGTAAATTTTCAGATAATGTCTCTAAACCATTTTCTAAACCTTCTTGTTTAATTCTAGGATAAAAAATGGCACCTAAACAATAAAGAAAATGAATGGGTTTAAAATATTTTTAAAAAAAAATTTCCATTACCTTTATTAGTTCTTTTAAATTTCATTGTTTTTGTTTTTTGTAAATAACTCTGAAATTTTTACAATTGTATGTATTACCAATGGACTAATAAAATAATAAAAACAAGAAAGTTGTAAAGTGGATTGGTAAAAAAATTTAAGAAAATAATGAAATACTTTAGCTATTTGCCAATCATTTTCTACTAAATAATGAGGACCTTTATTATTTGCTACAAAATAACTAATTAAATTAGCATAAGGTAAACACGAATCAAGCATTAAATAAGTACTATTCCATCTAATATGCATGTCTAATGCAAATGTTTTAGGAGACATATTTGATTTTATACAAGCATCTTGAAATTCAGCATTTCTTTTATTACTACCAGTAATCCAAGCTAAATAATCTCTA